AATTTCAATTATTAATAAGGTGAAAAGGAGAAAGAATCTTTTTGAGAATGTTGTATTAGGTGTTTGAAATAACCATCTCCAACAAGAAGCAAAAATGATAAATTACCTTATCAACACCTGTTCTTTCTTGATCAATCATCATCTCCTTGACAATACAAGATGGCATTCTCCCCTACCATCAAAGTTATTGAATGTTTTTGAAGGTTTAGGCATTTAGGTTAAGTTTTGCGAATCTCAAGCATGCATTTCATAATATTCTTCGGCTTCTGCTGGTGATAATTGTATTTCTATTAACCTTCCTTCCCTTCTCATTTTCTCCAGTATGCTCTCTTTCGAATGAATATCTTCTTTTTGAGCATTTGGTTGTGGCTTATTTATTTGCGTATGATCAAGTTTGTCCATTTTTTTTCAGTTTAAGAAACAAGTTCATTTTGGAATGTAAGATTTTAGGTGTTGATTGCATACAATTAGAATGTCAGATTACCAGTACAGGTTTCAAAAAATAGAAGGAACTCTGTCATGAAAAATGTAGACGAAACTTTTCCTCGTCTTTAAAGCTGAACTCACAAAGAAGAAACTTCATGTATTGTTCTAAATCTAAAGTAAAACCAGGTTTATTTGGTTATGTTGAAATATCAATCACGTTTTGTTTCACACTTTAAAAAAATGTTAAACAACCATTCTACATCCTCTCTTTGCAAAAGCAAGAAGGAATATGAGGTCATTAGCATCAATCAGAATGGTTCAGGTTTTTTGGTCTCGACTGTCAAAGAAAAGAACACAGACAAGGAATTCTTCATGTATTCATTTCAATCTGGGAATGAATATTTTATGAATTTAATTGTGAAATCTTCTCCCTATCTCGTTCCGATGGTAGATGTTATTTTTGAACAGGTTCCTGATAATCAAATATCTGACAGCTATCTTGAAGTTGAAATATTGAGAAATGATCATCAAATTGTGGAAGAATCCTTTTCAAAACTTGAAATTGTTATTCCAAAATCTGAGTGCTCTCTTCTAGAATTTTTGAATGGCGAGAAGGTTATTCATTGCAATGAGAGTGATCAGATTTTATTGGAGTGGGTTTTACAACTAATTAAGGGTGTGAAATCATTGCATGAACAAGGATTTGTTCACAGAAATATCATTCCATTTCATATACATATCTATTCTGATGAGGAAGGGAAATATTTTGTGAAATTGGGAGGAACTTGGAGTTCATGTCAAATTGGTTATAAGGAAGAGCCCTATAATTCAGAAATCAAAGCTCCAGAAATAAGAATTGGTGATGAGGAATTTGACTATTTACCAAGTTTGGATATTTATTCGTTGGGAATAACTATTTCTCAAATATTGGAACGGGTTAAGGTTTCAGATTCAATATTGTCACTTGTGAACAGTTTCATTGATCAAATGACAAGTGAAGATCCAGAACAGAGACCAACTATTGATGATTGCTTTTGGTTTTTCAAAAGACATTTATATCCACCAAAACCATATCGATTTACCAACAAATTATTTGATTGTTTCATTAAATTCTCTCAATAATAATGAGAAAATATTTTAAAGATTAAATACATTTATCCCCTCCTCTATGTAAGTATTGGACTTGGAGCTGCTTGAGAGCTGACTATGTCTCGCTTTTACTGGATTTATTTCAACACTGAATTTCTGAAGTTCTACAAGACGATTTAACATGTTAATAGTAGAAATAGTAGAAATAGGTATAATTTAATAATGATGAAAATTTACAAAGAATTGTGACTTTACATATCTTTGAGAATAGCAACTGGTTGAGTAATGGTTGAATAGTTTGTGGAGGATGACTTTCTTTTCATTAATTAGGAGAATGAATAATTGACAAACTTGGAGAAACAATTTGCAAACAAGTTGACCATTCTTCTTGGGACACTAATTTGTTCCAACATGCTGACATCTCTCTTTGGGAAAATATGATGATTGTCATGCTCGTTAACATGATGAACGTGATATCCAATCAAAATTTCAAGAACAAGATTAATATCCACATATTTTTGGAAAGGATAAAACTTGTCAACCATTGAATCGAACCATCCTTCTTCATGAGCTAATGTTGTAAACACCATAAAGATTACAGTCATGACAAGTCTACACATTACCAAATGCATTAAATAATCAATAGGATTCATTATCAAGAATGGAGCCAAGAGCAATACCAATCTTGCAAAGTACATTGGAGCATATTTCCACTTCATGTCTCTCTTCTTCAAATAAAAACTGATATAATGAAAATCAAATACAGAACATCTCATGAATAATACCCAACGATCTGGAGATGATTTAAACCAATAATCAGGATCTCTTTTCAGGATTTGCTTATGTCTGTATCTAGAACATCAGCTGGTGCCAAGTAATCTTGTGTGGTGTCCATAGAGTACTTTCTGCTCCCTTGGCCATAGTTGAAATTGTGATCAGCATCATGGGCAGCCTTTGCTGGATCGAATGTTAAAAAGTGACCAAAACCAACTCCAAGAAAAAGATCAATTATTGAATTCAATGAATCTTCTTGATGTAGTAAATTGTGAAAGCACAGAGTCCATCTTCCACCAAAAATAAGATATACTGGTGGTAGGATCAACATTTGAACAAGAAAGTTAACATGAAAATGGGTCATTGCTATCCTTGCAGCAAGAGGGATGAATTGATTAATCATATTGAAAAAGATGGAGGCATATTTGCTGTATGAGACTTCAGTTCCATGGACTGGTTGTCTTCCATGAGTCAATTGTCTGGTCATTTGTATTGATATTGTTATTTTGTTTGTTTTTTTTGTTGTGGGGAAAGTAACTTATTTAACTGCAACATTTATATACTTTTTCTGTGCATTATTTTTTGCTTGAGTTATTTTTATTTTAACGTTAATCATCAAGAATTTTGGAGTCTTAAAAATTTTCTTTTTATTCTG